AAATGGCTAAAGCATTAAGCACTTAGGTCAATAATCACCATGGACAGTTTCTATACACTGTTCAGTAAACTCGGCTAAAATCATCTTTTCTATTTATGAGTTCAACCCGCAGTTGGCTTTTCTACTATGGTCTAGGTTAAATCTAGCATAATAAAAAGTTATATGAAGAGTAGCATTTATACACACTAAATTAGAAAATAAATTTAGATAAATTGATAAAAATAATAATAGTAATAATAATAATAATAATAAGAAGAAGCAGAAGAATATATACAGGCAACTTGTGTTCTTTGGATCAAGAAACATTTATAAGCATCAATACTTGCTTCCTCTCTCCTCTCCTCTGAAGTGATACGTAGTCACTCACAAACACAATCGCGCACAACTTTGGACACACTCCGCGTGTTTTCCCTATTGCTATATCAGTCATCGATCAATGGCGAAGAAGCTTTTAAAAACAGACAGAAAATTCTTATTTTGTTCCTTGCAGAGGTTCGGCAACTTGCAACTTTCTTTCTTTCTTTCTTTCTTTCTTTCTTTCTTTCTTTCTTTCTTTCTTTCTTTCTTTTCGCTTCGTTTGAACAGGCAACTGGGAATCATTTTGGTTGTTAAAGTGATGGCGTTGTTGCAGAGCCACGTCGCCTTTGTGAAATATCGGGTCCGTCATGTCCGGACCGTGGACCCGACTTGTTATTACACCGGAAATTGAAAGATGCGCGCAGTGGACTTATGGCTGACATTCTCTTTCAAGCGAAAGGCGGAGCACCCGATATTGCTTGTATGTAGGGAGGGCAGGTGCTTGGGGGTGGGGAGTGGCTGATGATAGAAGGAAAGAAGGAGAAAAAGGCGAGAATTAACTATCGGTGGTCCGAAGGAAGGAAGGAAGGAAGGAAGAGAGAAGGGCTCGGATTTTGTAGGGAATTGGAATAATCCTGGTCCAGGAATGAAAAATTCTTTTGACTATTGACTTCGGTATTGGGAAGGTGTAAAAAGAAAGTATAGAAGAATCTTGTTATCAGCGGTAGATAAATTCCAAAAGATCCGCAGACTGTGAAATCTATTTTACTATAAAGCGTATACCTCGTAGATGACAGAGGGGACACAGGTCCCGCCAGGATTATATAGTTTCACTACACGGTAAAAAAAACACAACAAAACAAAAAACAAAACTATAAAATTAAATGAATTAAGCAAAAGTATTTCAGTAGACAATGAACTAAACTATTTTTTTAAAAATAATTTGAGCTGATTTTTTTCCTCAGCAACTTATCAAAATTTAACAGCGGATATTTAAATTATCTTTTTTTTTATATTTTCAAAATAGTATTAAAGGTTTACGTTATATTTAAAACTATTTCGCACTTAGTATACTCGTATGGAATCTATTTTACAAAGCAGTTTTAGTTTTAATAAAGTTTTAAACATAAAAAATTTAGCTGACCAGACCAACCATTGGTTAATGCGATAGCAGTTAGGGATCCCCAGATGAAGATATCTCACTATATATATAAATACAAAGTTGGGCACCTCGACGTTTAGGTAATGGTTAGCGAGCTTGTCTCGCTAGAATAATTACTGCTGGGTAGTGAGTTCGATCCTCACTGGGTGCCCCTTACTTTCGGCCTTGTGCCACATCTAAGCTACGCTTGGAAAATCATTATTGGGCACCTCGAAGTGGTGTAATGGTTAGCGAGCTTGTCTCGCTAGAATAATTACTGCTGGGTAGTGAGTTCGATCCTCACTGGGTGCCCCTTACTTTCGGCCTTGTGCCACATCTAAGCTAATCATTATTGGGCACCTCGAAGTAGCGTAATGGTTAGCGAGCTTGTCTCGCTAAAACAATCGATCCTCAGCGGGTGCCCCTTACTCTCGGCCTTGTGTCACATTTACGCTACGCTTGGAAAATCATTACTCGGCACCGCGAGCTTGTCTCGCTAGAACAATTACGACTGAGTAGTGAGTTCGATCCTCACTGGCTGTCCCATACTTTCGGCTTTGTGTCACATCTAAGCTACGCTTTGAAAATCACAATGGGTACCTCGGGGCAGTGTAATGTTTAGCAAGTTTGTCTCGCTAGAACAATTACGACTGAGTAGTGAGTTTGATCCTCTCTGGGTGCCTCTTACTTCCGGTCTAGTGCCACATCTAAGCTACGCTTGGAAAATCACTATAAATACAAATTTGTTTCAAGATAATAAATAAGAACTTGAAAAACGTTATTTCTTTAAGTACACGAGCGCAGATTCTTTCTTTTTATGTTCCATATTCTTTCAGGACGTAGGCGATCATGGCTCTCCACCTCTCTCTATCACTTGCAGGTCTCAACAAGTTCCTTCCCTCTGCTTCCCTCCCACCCAGACCATGTTCTGTCATCCATCTGCTCAAGCTCGCCAGGTATGTCACGCGATGCTTTCCCTTGTCTCTCTTTCCCTCTATTCGACCCATGAGTATCAAATTCTCCAGACCCTCCTTCTTCATTATGTGTCTCAGAAACTTCAGCTGGCTCTTTCTGGTGTTAAGTATAAGCCTTCTCATTAATGACTTCAAATATTGTCCATATGTTGTACATCAAACCTTTTCAATCAAACTTCTGGCCATTATTAAGATTGGGGAAAAGCCGGGAGTGTTGCTAGGTCTACTCTTTTTTCAAAATAATTTTGATTTTGGTATTTAAATTTCATGCGTTATACGTGGCTGGATTTATGCTCAGTGGCCATCAATTGTCATCTATTGTTACTCTTGCAAAGTAGTTTTAAATTAATAAAGTTTTGAACAAAACAGATTTGGTGATTGAGCCAACCCTGGTTAAATGAAATTGCGATTGTAATTCTGCATATAAGTCAAACCATGGTTGCTATTTCACACACACACACACACACACACACACACACACACACACACACACACACACACACACACACACCATATATATATATATAAACGTGCAATCAATTTACAAATTCATGAATTATTCACACAAAAAACAAATGCAAAGGTTAATGATTTAATTGGCGAGAAATCCATCGTCGCAAACAATTCAAATAATATACAAAAACCTCCGAATCCGTTATGAACGAAATGATCCTTGTTTCTATAAATTTCTGCCGTATTAGTTCTTATTTTTACTACAAGCTTTCGTCTGTTCCTACAGACATCTTCAGGTATGGAATAGATGTTGTTCTTGTTTTTTCTCTTAGTAATGAGAGGACAACGAAATAGCATTTTCGGATACAACAATACATATATGTGTGTATATATATATATATATATATATATCACCAATCATGTAACAATAAAAGGAGCCTATGTTGTAACCACATTAGACATACCAATTCGTTCACTAGCTCAGTCACTAAATCTTCTTTCAAAATCTGCCACAATTCTAACTGTAGAGGTCATAACATAATTTACCTATTGGGATGCACCCTATACCAGGAACAATGTGTGGGAAAATATGAACGACCCCCTTCACTACAGAATTAATAATTATCGGAATCGGATCAAGTCGGCTCTCCACGAAGGATTATTACCTGTAGAACAACATTTCCGCCTAGAAAAACATGATTTTAAAAGCCATGCAAAATTCACTATAATAGAAAAAATAGAAATAGACAGAAAAAATAACCTTAGAAAAATACTAGAGGAACATGAAGATAAATGGATTTTGCGCCTCAAAACACTTCGTTCAGACGGACTTAACCATAAATAGAACTAATAACAACATAGAACTAATATATAACACCATAAATGAAGCCCTACCCACATTTCTCGACCACGCAAGACAGACATGTTCTACAGGTGTTGAGGTCTCACACTTATACAAACACCCATACTAATATATACGCATACACACATCACGCACACTCCCAAAGAACTAAAAGATAACATACATTTAACACACACATCCCATTCTCAGCAACCAACAAAACTGTCAAAATGTCCAAGAGGGAATTCTTAAAGTCTCCCATCCTCTATCTTAAAAACAACTTGAAAGAGGCCGTTTGACCAGCACAAGTTCTGACCAAAATTAACGATAAAAAAACAAATGAAAAGTACAGATAAAGTTCACTTTTGTAGTTCACTGTTACTAGCAAGTAGGGATTTATATTCCTGATGATGGCCATGTTGGCCGAAACGAGCCGAGGAACATAATCGAAATAATAAAACAAAAAAAATATTAATATACAACGCAGTGTATCGGCAAAATTTAATTTTTAATATTTTTTTATTGTTATATATATATATATATATATATATATATATATATATATATATATATATATATATATATATATATATGTGTGTGTGTGAAAAGTGTATATAAATATAAAAAAATATATATGTATAATTATTTATATATTATATGCGCGGTACTTATGAGTTTGTCTGACGATCGCTAAAGCGTGAAAAGGGTCACAAACTCACATCTATCCAAAAATATATATATATATATATATATATATATATATATATATATATATATATATATATATAATGCATGTCGTTAAAATGGTAGGATATGTGCAATTGAGACAGAATAAGGAGAAATAAAAGAAAAAAAAGAACGAGGAGAAAGAAGAAGAGTGAGAAGATAGAAGAAAATAGAGGATTGCTGCTTTTGGGTAGTGAGGTTATATATATATATATATATATATATACGATATTTATATATATATATATATATATATATATATATATATATATATATATATATATAAATAAAATATCGTATATAAATTAAATATTGAATCTTGGTGCTAATAAAATAGTGCTCGATGTATAATAACAAAGTTATAATTTATATTTCATAATAAATATACATTTTTTCCCTCAGTGAGGGAAAAAAATGTATATTTATATATATATATATATATATATATATATATATATATATATATATATATATATATATCAAGTTGGTATTGTTGAATTCTGCTCTTTCATGGGATTAGTTTTATCATGTCTTATCTTCATAACTATCTTTGAACAGTCGGGTAATTTCAGAAAACGAGAGAAAACTGATAAGTCGAAAGAAAAGAGTGAAATATGTTAAAGTGAAAAAAAATTAGAAAAGGAAAAAGAAAAAAAAAGAAAGGACCAAGAAAAACAATGCGCGGAAACCATATGGAGAAAGAAAAAAAGAAAGAGGAAGAAACCTGAGAAAGGACAAAGAAAAACAAGTGAGGCGAAACGATATGTGATAAAAATAAAGAAAAAAAAGAAAAAGAAAAGCACAAAAAGAGAAGGAGAAAGAAAAATAGAGAAAGAAGAAAAACAATTGTGCGGAGACGATACGGAGAAAAAAAAAAGAAAGAAAAGAGAAGAAGAAAGAAAAAAGAGAAAAGAGGAATAAAACAAATGAACTGAAACGATACGGAGAAAAAAAAAAGAAAAAAAAAGAGAAAAGAGGAATAAAACAAATGAACTGAAACGATACGGAGAAAAAAAAAAAAAAGAAAAAAAAAGAGAAGAAGAAAGAAAAAAGAGAAAAGAGGAATAAAACAAATGAACTGAAACGATACGGAGAAAAAAAAAAAAAAAAAGAGAAGAAGAAAAGAAAAAAAGAAAAGAGGAATAAAACAAATGAACTGAAACGATACGGAAAAAAAAAAAGAAAAAAAAAGAGAAGAAGAAAGAAAAAAGAGAAAAGAGGAATAAAACAAGTGAACTGAAACGATACGGAGAAAAAAAAAAAGAAAAAAAAGAGAAGAAGAAAGAAAAAAGAGAAAAGAGGAATAAAACAAATGAACTGAAACGATTCGGAGGAAAAAAAAAATAAAAAAAAGTGAAGAAGAAAGAAAAAAGAGAAAAGAGGAATAAAACAAGTGAACTGAAACGATACGCGGGAAAAGAAAAGAAGAGTAAATAAGAAAGAAGTCGTATATCAAAGAAACTAACATATTGGTTATTTCTTCCTCTTTTTATGCTAAACGTCACCCAGTACAAAACTTGAGAGTCACTAAAGGTAGAAGGTTAGTGTTAAAATGGTTATGAAGGTTTTAGGTGTGTGATATGAATGAAAGAGTAGCTCGGAACAAGTATGAGGAGAAGGAGGATAGATAACAATTGAATTTTGACTTGAAGAAGTTAAGATTGAAATGTTCAGGGAAGCACTCATTCGGGAATGTGTTTCGCGACGTGGCAGTTCTCAGGAAAAAGTTGTCTGTGTGTAAATTTCTCCTTATATTGGGAATAATTTAGAAATGAGGGTGCTTCAACTCCGTGGAAACAGCATGACATAATCTGGCTGTAAAGGTCTGAACTGGTGGAACTAAATAATGTACCACATCTGAACATTTGCCTCGCAAATAATGATAGATTAGCGAGACGGTTTCGATGTTGCGTCTATGAGAAACGGGCTTCAAAATAGGAAATAAATCTTCCCCCATTAAAACAACTTCTTCTTCTTCTTCTTCTTCTTCTTCTTCTTCTTCTTCCCTACATTGCCTATCTTATCCCTTACATAGCCTATCATAGCTCTATTTATTTATTGCTATCAACCTCAGCTGGTTTACTCGATCTTTGTCCATCGTACAGGCGAGAAGTCTTCACAAACCACTTCTTACACGTTCGATAATCAGCAGTATTTTCTCCATAAACAGCACAAACCTATTTTGACATTTGAATTACCTTTTTACCTTTTTTAATATAAATTATTAAACCAATACAAGGCCCAAGAGCCACTTAAGGTAGACGGTTATTGAATGAGGTTGTTGTTTGAACGAGGTGGAGGTAAGACATGCAGATGGTGAGGATATGTAGGAAAGATAACGGTTAATCCTAGGCTTGAAAAAGTTAATATTATTGTGATCAGGGAAGTATCCACGCAGGAGTCTCTTTTACAAAATAGCGGTTCTTAGGAAGAAGCTGTCCGAATGGAAATTCCTTCTTATTAAGGGAATGAGCATGATTCATCCTAGTGTATATGACATGGTGAGTGTTAACTCTAAAGGCTAGACTTGGTGGAACTAAGGAATGTAGCTCGTTAGAACATTTGTCATAGAAATATTGATAGAGTAGCGCGAGAGGCTTACAACGTTGCGTCTGCGGGAAACGAGTTGTAGGGTGGAAAACTATTCATCACTCACACAACTGCGTAAACGCTTTTGAACTCTATCAAGGCAGGAAAGTGAGGATTGTGCAGCTCCAACCAGATATGGCAGCTGTAATCCGTTTTTCATCTGGAATACTGCTGCTGTATCTGGGGGTTGAATTTTCCAGTTCTTAAAATAATGAAAAGCATAAACATCGCTTATTTATGCTTATTTATCTTGAGTCAGCAATAGTAAGCAAAAATGATTAAATATTTAGTTTTTTTAAATGCATGATAATTTGACAGATATGACAAAACAATTAAATATGACAGATATGACAAAACAATTAAAAGCGATCTTTTTTAATTAAATTATTTAAAACTAAACGCTCCTAATACTATCCTATGCAACAAAAAAAAAAAAAAAAAAAGAAAAAACAAAAGAAAGGAAGGAAATATTTATTGCGTTAATATTCAGCAATTGTAGTTTTTATAAGGCAGTTCCCGACAGAACATTTCATTCCGGAAGGAAAGCCCTAGATTTACCTTAAAACACTGAGTCAGGTTGTGATACAAGGTCGGTTTTTAACGTGGGGCCCCGAGTGTTTCCACTCGGCCCGCTGGTCTAAGCTGTTCTTAGCTTGTCTAAACTGTTCTTAGCTTCTCTGAGCTAGTCATAGCTGGTTATACCACCGCTACGTAATAGATGTTACGCAACATGGGCGAAGGGCAAGTGCGGAGGGAGAGAAGTCCTCCGGCACGGAACAGATACTACAACCGCAGCATCTACTCCGACGAGAAAAAAAGAACCCTTTTCCTCCTCTGCCAATCCCTTCCAAAGGATCCGGAAGGAAAGCCCCACGACTTAGCTTTCAGCATTTAGGTTAAATTACAAAGCTTTTTGGAATAAACAAATACAGGGTGGTCCTGAAAAATGTATTCATTTTTTAAATGAGATTAAATGCAGTGTTTATTGGCTTGTAAACAAGATTAAAGGCTAAAATTAAGAAATATCAATGGTTATTGATTTACAAAAAAGAATAAAGGTTTAAATTAAATATTAAAAGAAATTACATGCATGAATCTGAAAAAAGAAATATTCAGGAAATTACAGGATCAAAAAGTGGGTACATTTTTTGGGGGGACACTGTAGATTCGTTGTCACGCTCGCATCATATGTCATAGATGGCGACGTCATATATTAACGCTCTTACATTAACTATATATCATAGCCAAATGAAGTTCTTATGCAATGTCCTACATTTTTCTACTTTCTTGATTGCTTATTCTCCAGCATTTGTTAGTTTTAAGTTATCAAAGCTTTTAAGTATTTTCATGATTCTATGCATATTTTTACGAACATCATCGTATTGCATTTAACAAGGTTAGGTATATCTCTGACCACATAGTGTAGACTTTACTAAATAATATATACCATGGTAAACTTTTGTAGTATGGGATATAAGTTCGAATCTTCTTCAAACCTACATCTTTATTCCAAATTCCCGCCATTTAAATTGAGCGTCGAAGAATATATCGACCAAAAACGTTGTGATTAAAAACACAACAGAAAAACCTGAAATATATAACTAAAAGCAAAATGTATATTGGCAACTGTTGTTGAGTTGATTTATAAAAGTGAGAAAAAATCTCTATGAAAAAAAAAAAAAAATAGATAAAAAGATAAGATGAAACATTGGGAGAAAATAAAAAAAAAATGGTAAAATTGAATTCAGATAGACCTTAGAGTAATGTACGTTTAGGTGACGCCGTTCGGGCTGCAGACATTCGGCGCTGGCTTTTTCGACAGCTAAGCTTTCTTATCCTCGACATTTATTAAACGACCAACTTTTGAAATAAACTTTTACAATCTGTTTGAGCTGCAAACGTTTGCTCTTGCTCCCAGGTCTACCCTGACCCGAGATGGTAGCACTTGTTAGGGTCCCAGCAATGGGCAAATAGTGAGACCACAAACAAAAACAAAACACTATGAAAGCATAAAAATACATTTTTATAGTAAAATTAACAGCAATATACTTTTGGTATTGTAAAACGACCAACAATATCTATTTATAGTAAAATGGTCAGAATTATAGAATTACCAACAATACATTTTATAGGAAAATGACCAATACATTTTATTTGTAGTTGAAAGCATACAATTAAATTTAAAATATATTTAGTTGAAACCATAAAATTGTGTTCACGATATTTAGATTTCAGCATTAAATAACCCATAGAGTTTGATATGACTCTAAATGAAATCAGCCAAACAACCAAAATGAAAGAACTCTTTTTATGACATTAATCGATATAATATCCTATAATTTCTTAAAGAAATCAAACTGTATTCCAAAATATAACTTCAACAAAACTACAACATAAAACACACCTATGACCGCCTCTAGTATTCATGTCCACACAAACATGTATATGCAGATGTATATACATAAAAGCTGTGTATCATCTAACATGTACAGTGTAACCCGGATATAAGAGAAACCCGGATATAAGAGAGATTTTCTCTGGTCCCAAATTAGAGCCTGTGTTAATGTATATAAAATAGACCAAACCCGGATATAAGAGACTTCTTCTTCGGTCCCGACAACTCTCTTATATCCGGGTTACACTGTACTAAATTGTGAAAGCTGAATAACATATTATTATTACTTCAAAGCTCCCAAAATATTAAATTTGGGCATTAAATGACCCATAAGGGGTTGATATACTGTTCAACAAATAAATCCAATCAGCTGCAGACATTAGGCGCTAACCTTTTTGGCACTAAGTTTTCTTATCCTCGAAATATGTTAAACGATCAACCTTTCAAACAAACTGTAATAAACTGTTATAAACTTTAAAAGGTTAAATAATGGATAACTTCGAACCAGTAGCATCCAATCATCCAATTCCGAAGATGCAAGAAGTGAGGGGGGGGGGGGAGAAATAAATTTACTAAGTTTTCGTCTCGGATTGCTTGCAAGATCTGTTTTTGCTTTTTATGACCATTTATTTTAGGTACCAAATCCTTTCAGCCAGATTTAATCGAAATAGACAGGGAAAGAGAAATACAGAGAAGGAGAAAGTGAAAGAGAGAGGAAGAGAAGGGGAAATAGAAGGAGAGAGAGAGAGATAGTGAGAAAGATAGGGAGAGAGAAATAGGGAGAGAAAGAGAAATAGAGAGAGGTATAGGTGACGTAACGATTATCAACCTAGTAAATGGAATCACGAAATAGATATAAAATTTCCGCTAAGGCAGCTTGTATATTCAGTTAGCACTAATAGCCTTGACAAAGGCATAAATCTCTGCGCAATGTCTTGTCATTGGCATGCCACGATGATCGATGAGTGCGAGAGTAGGTGAATGAACACATCGGCAAATCACTCCTGTGTATACTGTAACTATAGCGCGATGGCAGGTTTGAAAATTTAATATTAACTCGAACCCCAGTGGCTCGTCCCACAGGCTTTACTTTTCCTTCAGGAGTGGGATAGAGTTATTATCTGGCACCTGAGGCCTCCTCACGGAGGAAGTGTCGAGGGGAGCTTAAGCAATTTCTGACCTTTGGTCCTTGTACGCGTAGGTCCCCATTGAAAACTTAACTTTTTGCCATATTTTGTACGAATGCGCATACGGATAAATACTAACTTCTTTGATAGTAGTATCCGTAAAAGAAACAAAAAAAAACTATTATTGGGTTGGTGCATAATTATCAGGCGTTTTTGTAGACGAGTTATTTATGAATAAAAATTGCTGTTTTGTTTACTTTTTTTAGATAAATATTTTATTTTCCGTCTATAAAAATGCATACACTCCGGAATAATCATTTAAATGTTATTGTTGAATTGTTACATTTCTTTTTTCATAATAAATATTGTTTAAAACGCCTGATAATTATGCACCAACCCAATATTATTGTCATTTTGACAGATAGGTAGGTAGGTAGGTTGTAGATAGATAGATAGATAGATAGATAGATAGATAGATAGATAGATAGATAGATAGATAGGGCGTATGGAAATTAAAGAAGAAAGAATAAGTTAAAGGATAGGAAGAATTAATGAAAAAATGCACTGAAAGAAAAAAGTAGGAAAAGAAAAGAAGAAAATGAAAGACAGAAAGAGAAAAAAGTAAAAAAGAAAAAAAGCAAACAGGAAAGAAAATATAAAGAGAAATGAAAAAGAAAAATAGAGAAAGAAAAGAGATTCAAAAGAGACAGAATATTGAAATTAAAAAAAAAAGACTGAAAAAATATTATAAAAAATAAACTAGGAAAAAACGACTATTGATAAAAAAAAGACAAGAAGAATAAATTAAAAAAAGAAAGAAAACACGAAGGACTATTTCGTTGTGCGGAGGAAATTATTTTAAACTACGGGTTTTTTGGTTATTTGAAGGGGACAGAGCGAAAGGCCAGCAGTCGGCGAAAACGTTTTTCGCTTAGCAGAAAGCTTAATTGATGTATGGAGACATGAATTTTTTAGACTGAAAGAGTCAAAATAAATATTCGGGTGTGGAAGGCGCCCCGCATCCAATCCCGTCTCTGCTTCCTTCATTACTATTCAAGGCGTGACTGCATCACTGCCTTTGCATATTCCGCGGCGATTCGAGTCGACCACATCTTACCAGCTCCCACCGTCGTCTCTCTTTTTCTCTCACACTTCCCGTATGTGTGTACGTGTGTTCAAGCACATTTTATGGTATAAATCTGATCAGTGTTTTACGTAATACAGGTAGGAGTGCTTGCGCGTTAGGTTAATGTCTATACACCTGTTTACGCAAATTCTAGCTCGTTTAGAGTTTACGTTATGGCGACGTACACGAATATGTTAGTTAGCGCCATTTTTTTTTAGTTTATGTTTATTATATAAACCTACATGTACTTTAGTGATGATAGTGTATTTGTTCTCATTTTATATTTTGCGAATCATTTTTTATATCGCAAATGTCCTCATGGTATTCGCCATGTGACGTATCAAAAGAAATACTACTACTAATAATAACGATATATATGTAATGTATCTTTGAAGATCTTCAAAAAAAATATCAAAATATAATATTCTTGAAACAGAAACCTAAAATAATGTGGCGCATGAAGACATCAATAATTCCAGTTGTGGTTGAAACCCTTGGTTTGATTGGAAACGATTTTGAGAGACTTACTGAAGGGAGCCCTGGTAGCCAATGCCTTAAAGAAATACAAAAAAATGTTCTCAAGTAGAGCTCACACCTTACGAAAGGCTTTATCTATGTAAACTGTGTGTTATATTAGGTTGTTTTATTTTTATTTTGAAAAAGTGTTCACAAGAAAATGTTATGATGCTATTTCTGACCTCCGGTCTCTGCTTGGGACCCGGATGGAGAAGAGTATGCAGCAGAAATCAAAGGAAATAATAATAATAATAATAATAATAATAATAATGATAGTTCGTAATTTGCATGCGTAACTATCTTCATGCGTTTTAAGGTTCGAAATGTCGGTAGATCCTGAATATTTTCTCAGAATGTGCTTCATGACTTGATTTATGTGGATTGCACGACGGAAAAATTAAATAAACGATTCAATGGAGACAGGTATGGTGTCAAACACAACAATGTGACATCAACGGAGCTTGCAGAACATTTTATTACAAACGATTCTAATTTCGACAACCATCCTAAGTGCACATTCTGGAAGAATATTCGACCCTTAAAAGGCTTGAGGATAATTACGTATGCAAACTACTAACTTCCCGCCCCGGAGGAATGAACAGAATAACAGGAGAGTTCCATAAGATTTATACTAAGCTGTTTGATTAATTCCTCTTAGTAACTAATCAACTAACGGACATTTTCAAGATCAGCAAAGATCGCTATCATATTAAGCAAGTTTCAATTGCATGCCTTCTCGTTGGTGACGTTTCGTTCGTTTTGACGCATTGGTTACCAGTACAGTCGTTTTCTCATTACAAGACAAGCAACATTTGTACAAAGACTTATAATTTTTTGTAGATTTACATTCTCAGACGGCTCTTCTATTATCAAAAGACACATATACTTGTAAAATGAAGGACATAGAGGTAATTATTAAGCAAAAGACTGCAAGTATGATGAACACAGTAAAGATCGAACTCACTAGCTGTTGTGGTACGATCCACCTAATTTACATAGTGGAGTACCGACCATATAAATATGGTTGGTACCGGGAAGACGGGGGAGGAAGAAGAGATCCAATCCAGAGACTCTGCCCGACTGCGACTAAGTCAACCCATTCTACAGGAACAGTCTTCCCAAGAATATACCAAACTATCTGTAAATATTGTGTACACGTTCTTGTGTCAATAAATTTTGTTTAAGTACATTTTGTGTTGTATTATTATTATTCCATGCTTTATTCAAGTTTCAAAACTAGCCAATAGTAACACTAGGCAAGACTATCTCGATAACTAAATTGATATTACATTAGATCTTGTTAATAATGTATTTCAACCTTATATGAAAAATAATGCTGACCAATATAACTAAGCCCATTTGTAATAAAACATATACCCTCATCTGTAGAATGTAAGATTAGCAATAATTAATCTGACAAAGATGTGTTTGATAAATATAGCGGTGTTTATAATAATGTTTTAAAAAATAATGGTTATAAGTACGCTGAAATCAACTAGAGAAAATATGATAACAGTGATCTAAGGAAAAGAAATAGGAATAGAAAAATCATTTAGTGCACAACCCCATTTAAACAATTGGTCAGTACTAAGTTAGGCCAGAAGTTCCCCATTTAATTAATAAACATTTCCCTAAAAGTAACCATTTTATTAAAATATTTAACAGAAACACACTAAAACTAAATTATAACTGCACCGATAATGTTGAGAAGATTATAAAGAAACACAATAATAAAATTTTAAACCAATTTAAAAATTTGGATAATAATGCACATTCCAAGATAAATACTGTTGATAATATTAACCAATATAATTGTAGGAAATCTAATGAATGCTCATCACGAAACAAATGTTTAAACAACTCTCATGTTTATCTAAGTACTATTTCTACAATAGAGAATGCGACTGTTGAAAAATTTAGTAGCACTAAGAAATCGTTTAAGACTAGATGGTACCAACATATCTTATCCTTCCCCAATAGTACTTATAAAAATAGTACATTTGTTTCTAAATATTTTTGGAATTTAAAAGAAGCTTATAAAACTCCTAAGGTAAAATGGAAAATTTAAAAAAGCTAGAACATGTAGATCTTTAAATGAAACCTGTTTTATATGCTTACATGAAAAATTAGAAATTATCGAATTTTCTGATAAAAACTCCTCATTAAACCAAAGAAGTGGATTGACTGTAAATTGTAGGCACAGTCTACCTTTTACCTTACAATATATTTAAACTTTGAATTTAATAATACTTTTTTTTATAGTAATAGTCAGTAGATGAATTGCGGTGCACCTTATATGGCTTGCTATTCTATTTGTAAGATTCATTTTAATTTACTATTAGTTAGTATTATTAACATCATATATGGATGTACAGGTGTTTTGTCCTTGTTTTGGTGGAACCAGCCCCAAAGTTTGCAAAAGTATTTTTGATACACCATGTATATATATATATATATATATATAGAACTTGGTTAGAGAGTTGGTCTTGTAGATTATTACTATTGTTGCCCAATGCGCAGATAGTGTAATTGATAACAGAATAAGAAATCGGACAGTTGAGTTCGAATTCCAATTGAGTCCAGTAAGCGAATTTATGCGCAAATAAACTTGGGAAATGTATGACTGAATCTATCTCTTCGGCTCCACCTAGATATGGGTAAAATAGCAGGAGAAATTGAGTTTTCTAGTCTTAGATGGCAACCAGTCAAGGAGAAAGGCTACTTTGAATTCAAAAACTGTGGAACTTGGTGTGATTTTGTGGCAAACTCTACACCAGTTATCTCGAATTGGTTCTTCCGAAAAGTGTGGTTGGTTCTGCAGAATTTTTCGTCATTATAATCGAATCGTAACTGCGAAAAGTTTGGTTGTTCCGGTCTAAGAACTGAGGAGCTGGACCCTCATAAGTTGATGATTTGCTTGATTTTGTTTAGCAGCATATCAACCTGTATGGGTTATTTAATCTAAATATTTTGTACACAATTGCATGCCTTCAATTACAGATATTTTGTACATAATTTTATACTTTCAGAGTAAAGGTATGTTTTTAGATATATAATTTGTAGATCATAAAATATATTGTTGGTAATTTTACTATAAAAATGTATTTTTATATTTTTTAAGTGTAGCATTGATTGTTGCATTAAAAATTGTATTGTTGTTCATTTTATTAAAAAAATGTACTGTTGATTTTTGTTTGAGGATTTACTATTTGCTCATAGCTGGGACCCTAACCAGTGCTACCACTACAACCCTCATAAATTGCTATCCAAAGTTAGGAGGATTTAACAGATTGATCACTCTATGAAGTATTTTTTCGATCGATTTCTCTCTCTCTCTCCCTCTCTCACTCTCTCCGTGTCTGTGATCAGAGCTCATTTTCAATTTTGACCAACTAATTCACTCACTGTAAGACTAAGATAAAATCCAAAGAAGAATCAACAATATCGTTGGATCTGACCTGGCATCTCGGGTTCAGTCATAACCTCACCGCCGTAATATAAATGCCCTGTGCCTTTTCTATAAAGACTTTCATGGTAATTGTTCAGATGAACTCTTCTCTATGGTACTTAGACGTTATGAATTTAAGCGCAGGACTAAATTGGCAGTAAGGTCTCACCGTTGAATTGGCAAAATGTAATCGTAAGTTCCATGCTGACAGTTTCTCTTTACGCATTCTCGCGTGTGGAACTCTCTTCCTGCTCCATGGTTTCCAGTCAACTTTGATCTTCAAAAATTTAAATGCAATGTCAATCGTTATCTACTGTCGTCTGGAGTACTTTGTAGCCCCTTGTGCCTTAGTGTCATTACTGCCTTGCATGGGGTGATATGATTTTTAAAATAATTACTCGGTCCACCATATTCTCACACAATAAGTGTTTGCCCAGTGAGAATCGATCTTTAAAAGTAAGAACTGTTAACATCGTTAACTGCTTCTACACGTTGAGTCGTGTTGATTTTCGTCTATTTGTGTATAAACACGCATACTGACGCGGGCTACATTCGTACGAACAGTCACTAAGCTGAGTATAATCTTGCACAGGGCCACTGTAATCAGCTACCTACCGAAGATGAATATCGTTGTATAGGGCCGGATTTAGAGACCCTAGGATATTCCACTCAGAGCCCCCCCCCCCCAAAATCCCCCATTCTCACGAGTAGAGGGAACTAGAAGTGTTAAATTAAACAATTTGAGTAAAGTCGTGGATGATGACGAGTGTTTAAAATTATTGAAGAGTTGTTTAGAGGCTACAACGCGTTATGACGGCAAGCTTAAGAAAAACCTATGACAGTGTCAAAAATATCATACACCTTGACCGGAAAAGGCTTTAGGGTTCAGCCTGCTAAGCCTATAAATAAATCCGGCATTGTTGCTGTACTGATAGATCGGTTTAAAAACCAAAATTGTTCAGCATCGCGGAAGAACCCAATTTAAATTATTATATATACATATTTTATATTTATGAAGCATAGCTTAGTCTGCCATAAATGCGAGGTAACTCAAGTCAAAACAGATGATGAGTCGATTTTGCTAATCACTGCTCCAAAGGGAGTAATTTACACACCATTCTAATATGTGTATTCACGTTATACCAATGCACATGCTTTTTCCTTTCGGTATGTATTAATTAGGTTGATTTATTAGTAATTTCCGTTTTGGGAAACCAGTTAGTATGATAAATGTATCATTCTAACTACTAATCCTACATAGCAGTTAAGAATACATATGAAGCGAGATGACATACTTGCATAGTAATGTCAGTATACACGGCGGATTAAATAAAAAAGAATGTTTAATTCCCTGAAAAAAAAAACAACAAAAAACAAAACAACAAAAAACAACAAAAAACGCAAGGCAGTATACAGCAAGAATAACAAAGAACAAAATTTTGGAATTCGGTTGGTCTGTTCTACTCCATCCGCCATATTCGCCTGAACTTGCAACAACCGATTATGGTATTTTTCGATCGTTGCGAAACGCTTGGATTGGCTAAACTTTCTCTGACGAAAATTCAGATTTAAGATTTCGGGCAAAGTCTTTTCACACACAAACGTGCGGAATTTTTACTCAAAAGTTATCGAAGAGCTGCCTGATAAATGGCAACGAAGCATTTCTAATAATGGCGAATATATACTGGAATAATAATTCAATTGCAGAGTTTTTTTTTCAAGAATTAGGTTGATAAACAAAAACGGAAATTATTTGTGACTCAACATAATATATGCGTAAACGCATGAGCGCACACACACACACACACACACACACACACACACACACACACACACACACACACACACATATATATATATATATATATATATATATATATATATATATATATAAATTTCATTAAAGATGACTGACAAGGTACTGTCTGTTTTTCATTTAATTTTTTTTCACGTGTTATAATTTACTTCTTTTCTGGACATAAATTATATAGAAAGTGTCCAAATTTGCTGCCCAAGTGGTCACAAAATGTGTAGATAAGCCTGTGTATATGTATTGTACATATGGACGTGTTGGGTGCCTACTCTAGAGGCAAAGTTAGCAGGTTATTCCTGATCGCCCATTCTCTAGTGTAATGTCTTCAATCCTTTTGAACTGCTTTGCTCTTGTTGCCCTGTGCCAGACTATGTTAAACTTAATAAATACATGCATTTTTCTGCGGGTGTTTTCTTTCACTATATTGTTAATAATGGTATATATTGTTTCGCCTTCTCTTTCATTTTCCTCCTCTCCCTTTTTTATTCCCCCCCCTCACCCTTTATTCCACTCTCACTTTTCCCACTCCCGCTCGGTTTGCGAAAACGCGCCTGTGTCTGTTTATGCTAAACATCACTACAAAGAAGCAAACAGTCGAAGTAGATGACGTAAACCTTCCTCTGTTGCTATAGAGACAGTAGCGGAAGACGGGGCTCTTAATAAACAGAACTAATATTATTGGTGAAGCGCTAATCAACCTGTGGTGAAACCACGCCCCCTAACGAAAAAGAAGACGAAATATTCACACACACGCACGCACGTGGATATAGATAGAAACGTGAACTAGCAAGACAAATACAAATTGCGCTAAGCTGTGTAGCGGGTAAAGAAGTGTCAGGCTTTTCAATCGTGCGTAACTCCGCCCACTTCAAAAATATGCTAAGATAGCGGGTGGGGCATCGGTACGCGGCTTTATAGAAAATAAAGAATTCTCTAAAATTTCGGGATTTATGTCCAGACAAAATATTGTGTCTGAATATATATTTTTTTTCATATATATATATATATTACGTTTCATACAAAAGATAAAAAAAATGAAAACATTTGTCGGCTGCTTGAACATTGCATCAAAGATTTCGTCGTCAGTTTGCAAATACTTGAATATTTTTATTATATCAATTACAGCTGCACAAACAAACGGTGAAACATCGTACCTGGTGGTATAAAATTACCACCAAAATGTCTAAAAATATCTCCCATGTATTAAATGCGATATTAAATTATCTCGTAGGTAAATGTTTACCCAGATATTGTATGTAGACTGTCCGGCTTTTACCTAGCCTAACAGTATAATACTGTAATATTAAATTAACCAGGGACGTTTATATGAAGCGTAGAAGTGTTTAGTATGCTAAAACTTACTCACATATTATAGACCAGGGGTCGGCAACCTTTTGCTATGTACCGACTTAAGGTTTTAAAATCATTCAGTCTGCCAACAGCGTACGTATTTTTTATACAAGTCAAGGTCAATATACCTGTTCTACAATATAGTTCATATAGTAGTTTAGTATATATTAAAATTGAAACCGCGAAATATCTTCTTTGCGTTGTAGTTGTTATTGGTTCGGACTTCGTGATGTCATTTGCGACTGTCTGCCTTTGGAAATTGCTTGGCGTGCCACATGTGGCACGCTGTCCGTAGGTTGCCGACCTCTGTTATAGACAACCAGGATATGTATTTAGCATTCCATAATACTGTAATATTAAATGTAAATGGAGGGTGGGGATTTTATAAAAATGTTGCGGTACGCAGTAGAGCTTATGTTTAATGGTGTAATGTAATATAAGCTTATGTTTAATGGTGTAATGTAATGTTAAATGCAAATAATTTTGAATTTATTTGATGAGGAATTGATAATATATTTTGACTAATTCGAATTATCTAACTATAGTTCGCTTGATTCTCTTCATCATTAAAGATGTTTTTATACACACGACGTTTCGGCCAAATACACTCTGTCCAGCTTCAATTTTCCATTTTTTTTTATTTTAGAGATAAGGGATTGTTAATATACTTGGATTTTTTCAAATTTATTCGCAATATGATTCTTATCTTAATCATTATAGATGTTATTACACACACGGTGTTTCGGCCAAGTACACTCTGTCGATCTTCAGTTTTTTTGAGTGTTTGCTAATATACTTAGACTTCTTCAATTTTATTTTAAATATTGTTCTCATCTTGATTATTATAGATTTTGTTATAGACACAACGTTTCGGTCTAGTACACTGTCCATTTTCAATTTTCCATTTTTTATTTATTTTAGAGATCATGAATTGTTAATATTCTTTTCCTTATTCGAACTATTGTTCTTATTTGGATTGTTATAAATGTTATTATAGATACGACATTTGGCCAAGTAACCTCTGGTTATCTTCAGGTATTAGTTATTTTATTTGATATGGAATATATTCGATTACTGTGTTATTTTGTTTTTGTAAAGCTATTTACAATAATGTCCTTAATAGTCAAGATGCGTACAATAGTTCGAATAAAGTTTGTGCTAGCCATCGATGTTCAATTCCAGGTAAAATTCAAGATTTCGGATGAGGATTTTTAAAGTAGACTCTCCTATTCATAAAACATTGGTAAAAGGCAAGTATAGTTTTCTTCCATTTGTGTTTAAGGTAGACTCAACAAAATTTAGACCGAAGGAGGAGGAAAAGGAGGAGGAGAGGAGAGAGAGAATAACTGATAATAATACAATGGTAAGAGAGAGATGAAAGGCTTACATATAGATAAAATAGAGAGAAAAGACTGATAGCAAGGGAAAGATAATGGCCGAAATCAATAAACACATTCATAAGGCGAGAAAAAGTAAAAGTAAAATAAAAAAGAAAGAGCGAGAAGAAACAAAGAAGAAAAGCACTTAATAGGAGAGGGAGAGAGAGAGAGAGAGAGAGAGAGAGAGAGAGAGAGAGAGTGTGTGTAACTGACAATAAGGGACACGATGGTAAGAGAGAGGCAAAAGGTTTACACATAGATAAAAAGAGAGAAGAGGCCGGTAATAAATAGTGTGGGAGAGATAAATAATGGCTGAAATCGATAGACACATACATAAGGAGAGAAAGTGATAGTAAAATAAAAACTCTGAGAGATAAAGAAACAGTGAGAATAAACAAAGAAGTAAGAAAAGTACTTAATATTATGGTAGAGAGAAAGAGAGAGAGAGAGAGAAAAAGAGTAAACGATAAAGCAATTCTTTTCTCTCTCTGTCTCTCTCTCTCACACACACTGAGAATATGATCTACGACTTTGACTTTTATTATTTTTTACAAGATTCTTTCATAAATTATCAGTGTTTATTTATTTATTTATTCTCCAGTTTTTTGAAGCTGCAATTTTCTTACTATACACTACAAAAAACTGAATTCGGTCAAAGGTCATCTGGAATTGTGAAAGGATTTAGTAGGTGTCATTTCATGAGATGAAACCGCGAACGAAGATAATCAGCTGGATTTGTCGTCGTCATTGTTTATTACAGTCCAACGTCTTTAATCCGGCATCTTTGAGACCAGACCACTCTCGGACCAGGAAAATTGCCGGATGACAGAAATCACCCCCCCCCTCACCGAAAAAAAAAAATAAAGAAACCCGTGTAAACATAGTCATGCCAGTTCATTCCACATTATATTGCTGAGTTATCAAAGCAAGAACAGTGCTTAAAACAGTAAGTAAAACAATCATTAATACTTGCAAACAAGGATTTTATTGTTTCATGCAATACAAAGACTTAAAAAAGCCTTAAGCCAAAAGATAATATATGCATACTATCCTGAATGGTTAAATATGAAATTTTTAGCGGTTTATCAACCTTTTGATGATTATTTAATGCTAGAAAATATTTTTAGACTAAGAATTTTTTTTAAGATAATAATGATTTAGTGACTTTTTATTAATTAACCCATAGTTGGAGGAGAAGAGATGGATTCATACTCTTCCCAGAAGTAAGTAAATATAACGATCCCAGCTAAAATTTTAACTCGGCTCTCCGATTAAAAATTCTTAGCCATCACACCAACTGCACATTCAAGTTCACAGCACCTGGTATTTACAAGCGGTCGCCCATTTATGTACAGACCAGTCTCGACGTTACTTAACTTCGGTGACCGTGCGGCAAGCGGTGTTTCAACGTGATATAACCGTAAGTAGGTAAATATGTAAATATATATGACCGTATCAACAAAAAACTCTGATGCTGTCGGCTGCTGCGAAAAGTTGTAAACAACGGGTGCCGTTGCCCACATAGCCGTTCAATGAATTAATGTCGAATGGATCAAAAAGTGCCGAACCATGGAAATTAAAGTATTAAAAAGATCGGACTGTAATTAGCAAGGATCCCCATCATTGCCCGGGATAGTTCTCTTTCTTCTGCGTTACCGTACTGCATCATCTTTTCTTCCTTGCAGAACTTTGCCGTAATTATGAAAATATAAAATATATTGTTTAATATATATATATATATATATATATATATATATATATATATATATATATATATAAACAATATATTAAACAATATAATTCATAATTATTATATGTATATAAAGTAAAAATATAAAAAGTAAAAGCCAACTCTTAACAATATTAACTATGAAAAAGGCCACAATGTGCTAACCGTATTCGGAAATTAAAAACATCTCTACAACACACTAAAACATACACTTAATGCACACACTCAATTAAGCTGAAAAATTGAATCATCCTTGATAATGGCTAAATGTATAGCCGAAAGCGCTCGGAACTATAAAACATTTAGACAATTTTTACACCTCTTTGTCCAGAAAAGAAAGCTCTTGTTCGAACACAAGAAAAATTAAATAAAACGCTTAACCATAGTACCTTGTCTGTCGTTTTTAATGATATATATATATATATATATATATATATATATATATATATATATATATATATATCGTTTTAATATATAAAGTAGTTCGATGGGTTTAAATATTTTGGTAGTTTTTTTTTATTTCATGTATGAAATGTCATATTATGATTTATGATATTTGTTAGTTCTTTCAGAATATACTATTAAAAATATCAACATTGCTTACTTCCAAGATGTGATCTAAATGCTAATGTGGTTACCAATTTCAGGGAAGAAGATTACTTTATTTGAATAAGTAATTTAGTTATAAAATCCATCAAGAAAATAACTATATATTGGTATAGATTCTGAAAGTCCAGAGTGGAAATGAAAAAATAAACAATACACAGTTATTAAAAATTAAGCGGAATATACAAATTAGTTAACAAAATGCAACAGAAAAGAAATAGTGTAACAGCGTAAGTAGAAATAACCTTTGAAATGTTCCTGCAATATGAGTAAACCTCCTCTCACACCAGTCAGTTATGTGCCATGCGTGATACACGCTTAGGCGATCATGTATCTTTCGATACATGACTGACGAGGCAGATTTTTCCTGCAGTAGGTGGCTATTTCTTTCTGCAGTAGACCAGGTGCCATCCAAGGCTATATAACCTGGTCTGTCCTGATATTTACCCATAGCTGGGAAGAGAAGAAGAGGATTCATACCTTTCTCAAGAGTATTAGCATGTAAATCAATGTAATCGATTGGTTTCTTTAATATACAACTAGACCATCCATAAAACCGTTGGATTCCTTTTAAAAGCAATTCAATAGGAGTAGATAAGTTCCCTATGGCCAGGTTCACACTTCTCTCCAGTCTTTTGAACAGGAGTAGAGGTTTATCCCTGGTTTCCTGTTTAGGATTGGGTTTCCGGCATCTTTCTAAACTCTACTTTAACTCTATATGCCTAACGTCTCCGACTGCGCCCTGAAATCTTATTCATTAGTTATTTATTTCTTACTTTTTTCTTCTCCTCCAATAGGATTAAATAGGTTCCCCCTATCGCCCGGTTCGCACTTCTTTCCGGTCTTTTGAAGAAGAGTAGATGTTTATCCCTTGACTCCTATTTCGGATTGGGTTTCCGGTTCCTTTTAAAGTCTACTTCTACACTGTATTTCTAACGTCTCCGAATGAACTCTGAAATGCTATTCATTAAATAAATCTTGACCTCTTTAAGTTTAGAATTAACCATTATTTCTTTCTTGTATAGCACCAAGGACTTCACTTCTTGCACTTTCTTCAGCACACAGTAACATTCTAACTGGAGTAACTATTGGGCCTTGTATTGGGTAAACATTAATAAAAAAAGTTTTTGATGATACAAAATGATGAGATAACAATATTGTCAATTTTATTATTACTTACACATTTTCCTTTTTATGACCACCAAAAATAACATACGTACAATTCGATGCTGTCTCTATTGTTTCCGTTCTTGGAGCAACATTATATATATATATATATAGATATAGATATAGATATTGTTGAGGGGTTCTCCCCTTTTTACACAAATACACTCACCCAGTGTATACTTATACTACTGCCAGAGAAGACCCGAGAGAGCAGACCGAGGAGTCGAGTCGAGTCCAGAGTGACAGAGTTGTAGGTAACCGGAAGAGTGAGGGTGAGGTAACAGCGTTGTAGGAGTCACAGTGAGCGAGCACGTAGACTCAGTAAGAAGTCATACAGCGATACTTCAATACCAAAGACTATATATATATATATATATATATATATATATATATATATATTGCTACTAACCCGTATTCCTGGAACTACTAATTTGCTTTACCAGTTTGTATTATTACGTCAATACATTATTTTCATATATTCATTCCTGGCGTTTTGCTATTTATTGGTACCAGATTTCAACCCGGAATCCCCAACACACACACACACACACACACACACACACACACACACACACACACACACACACACACACACACACATATATATATATATGTCACTGGCGTATTTATCTAAAAATAAATACGCTTAAGTTCATCTTCACCCCTGCCGTACGCCAACGGCTTAGGGGTAGATTCTCCGACAGACGGGTTTCGATCCTAGTTAGGAGGTCTAGCTTCACTGATGAGCTGTGATACAGCGAAACTGTCTGTCTGTTGATTATACATTTATATATAGTCTCGATTTTTCCGTCGAATTCGACGTATGAGGGTCAAGCAGATCAGTTCCTAGGAAACCGACAGCCCGACAACAGCACATGAGATTTGATTATAATGGTGAAGGTTTCGTGCAGGACCATCCACACTTTTTGAAGGGCCGAATACAGGGATCTGGTGCACTACGTGCCACAAGGTCCCCAAACATCTCTCCGCAGGTTTTGAATTCAGAGTTGTCCTTCTCCTAGACCATATATATATATATATATATATATATCCACACACACACATATCTATCTATCTATCTATCTATCTATCTATCTATATATATATATATATATATATATATATATCGATAACAATCATAATATTTCAGATAATAAATTCTGGATAATAAATTCAAATCATTAGATCGATTACTAGGTAATTAATGACCTTGCGCGGTGATACTAACAGACTACATAGAAAGAGAAAAGAAGTAGGAAGGGAACACATTCGCGACGAGTTCTCTATTTCATCGGCTCTAATGGTACTCATAAAATATGTGCAAGTGCATATAACAATAGAGTAAGTGATAAAATAACAACAAACAATGCAATAATAAACCGCACAAAAAGGAAAGAAAGATAAACTCATCACTCCACAGAGAATTTAGGAGGGATTCAGTCATAGATAAAAAGTAATGAAAATGATTACGAAGAGGTCACGTAAAAAGCGAAATTATCCTAGCAGAAGTTAATTAGAGTCAATTTTCTCAGCGTAAAATCTAAATACAGTAAAAGTACAGATTTTGTTTCTATGGGAATTGTTATTCTTAACCAAATCATAGCTGAAAGCAATAATCAAACGCAAAAGGAAGCGAACCCCCCCCTAAAAAAATAAACAAAAAAAACCCAACAACAAAAAAAACAAAAACAAACAACAGAGTAGGAGCAATAATACACCGAGAATTGCGCAAATGAGTGGGATTCGACCATATAAATAGTATGAAAACACATAGGAATGTATCATAGAAAAGTAAAAGTAAAATACTCTGAGATTTTGAAATACAGACAGACCACACTATTTAAGTAAAAAGAACAGATCTGTTGTTAAAAATAGTCTACCAGATTATAGATGTGGCTGTTCTAGCGAACCACAGAATGAAAATAAAAAAACCTAAAAAAAACAAAAAACCCAGCATCTTAGCAGAGGAAACCGTCGTTATATCTAACGTGCATTAACCGACTCAGCTACGAAGGACATTTACCGATTTTTCTTTAATAAGATTTCTCGCATATTCAGGCCGGTAGATAAAAATAAATAAATATACCGTTTTTAAAAGGGTGCGCTATGAATGAATGACATTTATTAAAGAAAAATGCGCTTACCCGTATGATTTGAAGCTGCGTCCCCTGGTCAGAGAGATCCGTCATTCTTTAACCGACTCAGCCATGAAGAAACTTTGCCGATCAAGAAAGGATGAATAAGCGAAAGTCTTCTCGTCTTAGATTCTCGAAATAGCTCCATTTCGAATCCCAACGTAAACAAAGCCGTTTCTAAAGAATTATCATATGTCACAATGGATTTTATTTGGCCGCTAAGGTAACTTGTTTTCCCGATTTTACTTGGTCTCTAATGTAACTGGTTTTCCCGATTAAATGCATTTAGTCAGTATTCGAACATTCAAAAATTCGAATATTGATTTTCAAGACACGCACCCCCCACTTTTGAGATGAGGTGCAACATAATCTTTCTTACTCATTTTCCCGACTCTGATTTGCTCTCTAAGTTTTATAAACAGCAATTTATTAACCACTTATATTATTGACAATAAAATAGAGGTGTGAAATAATAATTTAAAAGAAGTGTAAATATTTTAAATGACAAAATAATTGGAATTGATGAGATTGTCTCAATAAATGTTTAAATATTGCTCACATCTAATAACAATAAAATAAGGCACAAAAGAAAAAAAAAAGGTATTATTTAAACGTCCACCGCGGATACTACCGAACCGCGGAGACTAACAAACCGGGAACAATGCCGAACCGTGGATAATAAAGTTAAGAGTTTTACAAGGTTCGTCGCTAAAAGTAAACGGAATCTGCGTAGAATTTTAAAACAAGAATAAAAAAGAGAATGGTTTTACAACGCAAACAATTTTCTGAGTATTTCGCCTCGGTAATGTGCGCCAGGTAATCGAGAACAAATTATTGCAAGAAGAAAATAAAAAAAATATTCATTATAGATTTTGAGAAAAACAGAGAATATTATTCAATAAAACCATCCATATCCTTGAGGGTGGCCTTAACGCTGTCTAGGATGAGACCACACAACCACATCAGAGTGGCCTTCAAAAGCCTTCGATATTGTAGAACTGTTCTTTGTAGTTCCTTTCAACGACACCCCGGATATAGTATTCCACGAGATTCAGATCTTGAGAGCTATGAGACCACATGTTGGGGGTATTATGATGGAACATGTATGGCCTCAACTAGAGCACCTCAAGTCAATAACTGCTGTATTCAGCGCCACTGTGTAGGAGGTGTCATTGACTATGAGGCACAGGGGAAGTTGGGTAGAATATTGCAGGCGATATTCAAGGGAAAGTCGATGTGAACTTAGCAAACATCAACGAAGGTTCTTGTATGCGATTCGTGCAGTGTCACCCGTTGTTACTCCTCACCTTCTGGTCTTAGTCGACGTTCTATACTACAGGCCAACTAATGAGGCACATTAAGTGACAGAACTGGAAGCCTATTTCAAAATCTTTAAATTTTTTGAGATTTGGGGACATATGTTAAAAGTTAAATAATCTACTTAATAGATGACATTTCCATTAATGTTGTAATATAAAATGATCACATTTGTTTCTAGTTTATGTTATCAGCATACATCTTAAAACACCTTTTTGAAAGAAAAACAGAAATTACTCATAAAAAATTAAATTTTATTATCAATATATTTGTTGGTACGAATAATAATATCCTATAGAGAAATTTAAAATGAGCCTTTTTTTAAAATAAATTTAAAATTAGCTTTATTTTAAAATAAATTTTGTAGTGTATAATTAGTATCGAAAAAAGTATGTTAAAATTAAACATAGCAAATTGTTTCTGTTAAAAATGAAACATAACAAAACATTATTAAAATTAACTCGACTATAGCCCTGTTCACAACCTCCCGGTATTTTGAACAGGAGTAGGGGTTTATCCGTTGTTTCCTGTTTAATATTGCGTTACCGGTTCCTTCCAATGTCTACTTCAACTCTGTCTGTCTAACATCCCTAACTAAACTCTGTAATTTTATACACTATTTATTTTAAAAAATTTTTTCTTCAATAGGAGCAGGTAGCTTCGCCTATCGTCCGGTTCACACTCCTTCCCGCTCATTTGAACAGGAGTCGAGGTTTAGACCTGGTTTCCCGTTTAGGGTTAGGTTTCCGGTTCCTTTTAAAGTCCTATTATTCTCTTCCCCCCCCTAGTCCCCTTGCGTCTTAGTGGCATTATAGCCTTGCTTGGGGTGAATCGATTAAAATAAAAACTCTCTCGTGAAAGCCTTTGTAAGATTTTAAGAAAGAAAGACTAGAAAAATCGTATTAATAAAGAAATCGTATTTCTTTAAATCAAGTAAAATTACGCATTTTTCCGTTAGAGAAGAATGCCTTGTCAATTGAATGCCATTTCCTTACATTCGGTCATTTTCCATTTATGGCTTGCTAAATGTGTTCTCAAAGACTTGGAATGCCCTGTAGATATACTCGTCAAAAATCTGGTAGAGAAAGAGAGAGAAATTGAAAGAGAGAGAAAGAGAGCGTGGTTTGGTTTAGTTTGGTTTGTTTTTTTTACGGCATATCAACCTCAATGAGTTATTTAATACCGACAACATTTTTAGGATAGATTCGTATGAATAGAATATGTATTCTTTGGTTTAGATTGGTTTAGTTTATTTTGTTTTACGGCATATCAACCTCAATGGGTTATTTAATGCCGACAACATTTTTTATTGTTGGTAATATTTTGTTTTGTCAAAAATCTGTATCTGGTAATATTTTTCCTTCAAAATTGTATCGCTGGTAATAATTTTTTTCCAAAAAGTATTGCTGGTAATAGTTAACTATTTGCTCATAGCTGGGACCCTAACAGGTGCTACCACCCCGGGTCAGGACATGGGAACGCCAGCAATTAAGAGGTGGTTCCACGCTCTTCAAAAACTCCTGATCAGAGGCCTTGATGCTGAACGTAGTTTAACGTTTTACCCAAGACGCGGATGTAGTTTAACGTCTTACTCAGGACGGAAAAAGAGAGAGAGAAAGAAGAAGAGAGAGAAAGAAATAAAGAGAGAGAAAGAGTAAGAGAGAGAAAGAGTGAGGAATAGTGAGAGAGAAAGACAAAGAAAGAAAAAAAGAAAGAGGGAGAGAGAGAAAAAGAAATAGAGAAAATCTGTTGAAATGAATATATTTAGACCTCTCTACTCTAGACTTCTGTGATTCGCCATTAGTTCGTGGATATGCAATGAGGTTTCTTGGATTTCAATCGTAATTTAACAGATTCGTTATAGTAAATATGTAAAAGCCTAACTGCAGTTTGAAATAAAATGAAAGGGACTCTAAATTCGACAACTTTCGCTCATAATTTTTACCATAGAGTTACTTTATTTTCAGCATCTTATAAGTTATTTTCTAAACAATCATATAAAACTATATATATATATATATATATATATATATATATATATATATATATATATATATATATATATCACGCAATTTTCCTCCGTAATATTTTACAAGCATATATTTACACAGGACGTTCATTAAGAATTTTATTTGTTTTTTTATGGCATTTTTATGTCGTCCGAAAATGACCAGGTACAAAGGTTTCAGGATTAAACAGTTAAAATCAATATTCGTTCATATCGAGCGAGTTAAACTAATATGAATTATTCCGAACTATTAGTTATTTTTTAAGTAAATATCTTTATATTCTTAAACGATAGGGCGTTGAGCGGTTACAATTGAATGGGTATTAACTTCCATTCTTTGTTCTGAATTAAAGAATCTCCCAACTTTTATAAGTTCGGGTGGATATAGCTCAATCTATACCCGATTTATAAGGAGTGTGAATGGCTTGATGGTCGATTTTGAGTACTGACTATACTGAGGGAAGCTTTGATTTGATATGTTTGTTTAACGGCATATCAACTAATTATAGGTCATTTAATGCCAAAATTTATTTTTTCTTGGGAGCTTTGAAGTAGTAAAAATATGATACATGTTATTCTGCTTTAACAAGTGAACACATGGTAGATGATACACAGCTTTTGTGCATATACATGTTTCTGTGAACATGGTTACTAATGTGTATTTTATGTTGTAGTTTTGTTATATTTTGAAATACATTTTGATTTTTTTTAAGAAATTGGAGGATTGTTGTGGATTCCAGGGATGGAATCAGACAAAAATAAATAACAACGCCAGTAATAGAAATAGGAAAATATGTGTATTAACATAAGGATACAAAGTGAAATGAAGATTAGTAGTCCAGGAATGCGGGTTAGTAGAAAAGTATATTTACAAGTCTCTGTAATGGAAGCCGTAATTATCTCTCTTTCTGGACTCGCGTAACTCTGAGTGAACACCCTGTATCGACCTCTCTTTTGTCACTCTATCTCTCCGTAGTATAAATATACATTGGACGAGTCCATTCTGTGTACAAGGGGCGAGCACCACAGTGAGTATGGATTAATGTCAGGAAAGAGTTTTTTCGTGCTGGTTGATTTTTTTTAGCGGCATATCAAACTCTATGGGTTATTTAATGCCAAAATCTAAATATTTTGATTGCTTTGGTTGGATGGTTTTGTTTAGCAGTATATCAACTTCTATGGGTTATTTAATGCCCAAATCTAAATATTTTGATTGGTTTGGTTGGATGGTTTTGTTTAGCAGTATATCAACCTCTATGGGTTATTTAATGCCAAAATCTAAATATTTTGAATGGTTTGGTTGGATGGTTTTGTTTAGCAGTATATCAACCTCTATGGGTTATTTAATGCCGAAAACTAAGTATTTTGATTGGTTTGGTTGGATCGTTTTGTTTAGCAGTATATCAACCTATATGGGTTATTTAATGCCAAAATCTAAATATTTTGATTGGTTTGGTTGGATGGTTTTGTTTAGCAGTATATCAACCTCTATGGGTTATTTAATGCCAAAATCTAAATATTTTGATTGCTTTGGTTGGATGGTTTTGTTTAGCAGTATATCAACCTCTACGGGTTATTTAATGCCAAAATCTAAATATTTTGATTGGTTTGGTTGGATGGTTTTGTTTAGCAGTATATCAACCTCTATGGGTTATTTAATGCCAAAATCTAAATATTTTGAATGGTTTGGTTGGATGGTTTTGTTTAGCAGTATATCAACCTCTATGGGTTATTTAATGCCCAAATCTAAATATTTTGATTGGTTTGGTTGGATGGTTTTGTTTAGCAGTATATCAACCTCTATGGGTTATTTAATGCCCAAATCTAAATATTTGATTGCTTTGGTTGGATGGTTTTGTTTAGCAGTATATCAACCTCTATGTGTTATTTAATGCCGAAATCTAAATATTTTGATTGGTTTGGTTGGATGGTTTTGTTTAGCAGCATATCAACCCATATGGGTTATTTAATGCCCAAATCTAAATATTTTGATTGGTTTGGTTGGATGGTTTTGTTTAGCAGTATATCAACGCCTATGGGTTATTTAATGCCAAAATCTAAATATTTTGATTGCTTTGGTTGGATGGTTTTGTTTAGCAGTATATCAACCTCTATGGGTTATTTAATGCCAAAATCTAAATATTTTGATTGCTTTGGTTGGATGGTTTTGTTTAGCAGTATATCAACCTCTATGGGTTATTTAATGCCGAAATCTAAATATTTTGATTGGTTTGGTTGGATGGTTTTGTTTAGCAGCATATCAACCCATATGGGTTATTTAATGCCCAAATCTAAATATTTTGATTGGTTTGGTTGGATGGTTTTGTTTAGCAGTATATCAACCTCTATGGGTTATTTAATGCCAAAATCTAAATATTTTGATTGGTTTGGTTGGATGGTTTTGTTTAGCAGTATATCAACCTCTATGGGTTATTTAATGCCAAAATCTAAATATTTTGATTGCTTTGGTTGGATGGTTTTGTTTCGCAGTATATCAACGCCTATGGGTTATTTAATGCCGAAATCTAAATATTTTGATTGGTTTGATTGGATGGTTTTGTTTAGCAGCATATCAACCCATATGGGTTATTTAATGCCGAAATCTAAATATTTTGATTGGTTTGGTTGGATGGTTTTGTTTAGCAGTATATCAACCTCTATGGGTTATTTAATGCCAAAATCTAAATATTTTGATTGGTTTGGTTGGATGGTTTTGTTTAGCAGTATATCAACCTCTATGGGTTATTTAATGCCAAAATCTAAATATTTTGATTGCTTTGGTTGGATGGTTTTGTTTAGCAGCATATCAACCTCTAGGGGTTATTTAATGCCCAAATCTAAATATTTTGATTGCTTTGGTTGGATGGTTTTGTTTAGCAGTATATCAACCTCTATGGGTTATTTAATGCCGAAATCTAAATATTTTGATTGCTTTGGTTGGATGGTTTTGTTTAGCAGCATATCAACCCATATGGGTTATTTAATGCCCAAATCTAAATATTTTGATTGGTTTGGTTGGATGGTTTTGTTTAGCAGTATATCAACGCCTATGGGATATTTAATGCCGAAATCTAAATATTTTGATTGGTTTGGTTGGATGGTTTTGTTTAGCAGTATATCAACCTCTATGGGTTATTTAATGCCAAAATCTAAATATTTTGATTGGTTTGGTTGGATGGTTTTGTTTAGCAGTATATCAACCTCTATGGGTTATTTAATGCCAAAATCTAAATATTTTGATTGGTTTGGTTGGATGGTTTTGTTTAGCAGTATATCAACCTCTATGGGTTATTTAATGCCAAAATCTAAATATTTTGATTGCTTTGGTTGGATGGTTTTGTTTAGCAGTATATCAACCTCTATGGGTTATTTAATGCCGAAATCTAAATATTTTGATTGGTTTGATTGGATGGTTTTGTTTAGCAGCATATCAACCCATATGGGTTATTTAATGCCCAAATCTAAATATTTTGATTGCTTTGGTTGGATGGTTTTGTTTAGCAGTATATCAACGCCTATGGGTTATTTAATGCCGAAATCTAAATATTTTGATTGGTTTGGTTGGATGGTTTTGTTTCGCAGTATATCAACGCCTATGGGTTATTTAATGCCCAAATCTAAATATTTTGATTGCTTTGGTTGGATGGTTTTGTTTAGCAGTATATCAACCTCTATGGGTTATTTAATGCCGAAATCTAAATATTTTGATTGGTTTGGTTGGATGGTTTTGTTTAGCAGCATATCAACCCATATGGGTTATTTAATGCCGAAATCTAAATATTTTGATTGGTTTGGTTGGATGGTTTTGTTTAGCAGTATATCAACGCCTATGGGTTATTTAATGCCCAAATCTAAATATTTTGATTGCTTTGGTTGGATGGTTTTGTTTAGCAGTATATCAACCTCTATGGGTTATTTAATGCCAAAATCTAAATATTTTGATTGGTTTGGTTGGATGGTTTTGTTTCGCAGTATATCAACGCCTATGGGTTATTTAATGCCGAAATCTAAATATTTTGATTGGTTTGGTTGGATGGTTTTGTTTAGCAGCATATCAACCCATATGGGTTATTTAATGCCCAAATCTAAATATTTTGATTGGTTTGGTTGGATGGTTTTGTTTAGCAGCATATCAACCCATATGGGTTATTTAATGCCAAAATCTAAATATTTTGATTGCTTTGGTTGGATGGTTTTGTTTAGCAGTATATCAACCTCTAGGGGTTATTTAATGCCAAAATCTAAATATTTTGATTGGTTTGGTTGGATGGTTTTGTTTCGCAGTATATCAACGCCTATGGGTTATTTAATGCCGAAATCTAAATATTTTGATTGGTTTGGTTGGATGGTTTTGTTTCGCAGTATATCAACGCCTATGGGTTATTTAATGCCGAAATCTAAATATTTTGATTGGTTTGGTTGGATGGTTTTGTTTAGCAGTATATCAACCTCTATGGGTTATTTAATGCCAAAATCTAAATATTTTGATTGGTTTGGTTGGATGGTTTTGTTTCGCAGTATATCAACGCCTATGGGTTATTTAATGCCGAAATCTAAATATTTTGATTGGTTTGGTTGGATGGTTTTGTTTAGCAGCATATCAACCCATATGGGTTATTTAATGCCCAAATCTAAATATTTTGATTGCTTTGGTTGGATGGTTTTGTTTAGCAGTATATCAACGCCTATGGGTTATTTAATGCCGAAATCTAAATATTTTGATTGGTTTGGTTGGATGGTTTTGTTTCGCAGTATATCAACGCCTATGGGTTATTTAATGCCCAAATCTAAATATTTTGATTGCTTTGGTTGGATGGTTTTGTTTAGCAGTATATCAACCTCTATGGGTTATTTAATGCCGAAATCTAAATATTTTGATTGGTTTGGTTGGATGGTTTTTTTAGCAGCATATCAACCCATATGGGTTATTTAATGCCGAAATCTAAATATTTTGATTGGTTTGGTTGGATGGTTTTGTTTAGCAGTATATCAACGCCTATGGGTTATTTAATGCCCAAATCTAAATATTTTGATTGCTTTGGTTGGATGGTTTTGTTTAGCAGTATATCAACCTCTATGGGTTATTTAATGCCAAAATCTAAATATTTTGATTGGTTTGGTTGGATGGTTTTGTTTCGCAGTATATCAACGCCTATGGGTTATTTAATGCCGAAATCTAAATATTTTGATTGGTTTGGTTGGATGGTTTTGTTTAGCAGCATATCAACCCATATGGGTTATTTAATGCCCAAATCTAAATATTTTGATTGGTTTGGTTGGATGGTTTTTGTTTGTTTAGCATATCAACCCATATGGGTTATTTAATGCCAAAATCTAAATATTTTGATTGCTTTGGTTGGATGGTTTTGTTTAGCAGTATATCAACCTCTAGGGGTTATTTAATGCCAAAATCTAAATATTTTGATTGGTTTGGTTGGATGGTTTTGTTTCGCAGTATATCAACGCCTATGGGTTATTTAATGCCGAAATCTAAATATTTTGATTGGTTTGGTTGGATGGTTTTGTTTCGCAGTATATCAACGCCTATGGGTTATTTAATGCCGAAATCTAAATATTTTGATTGGTTTGGTTGGATGGTTTTGTTTAGCAGTATATCAACCTCTATGGGTTATTTAATGCCAAAATCTAAATATTTTGATTGGTTTGGTTGGATGGTTTTGTTTCGCAGTATATCAACGCCTATGGGTTATTTAATGCCGAAATCTAAATATTTTGATTGGTTTGGTTGGATGGTTTTGTTTAGCAGCATATCAACCCATATGGGTTATTTAATGCCCAAATCTAAATATTTTGATTGGTTTGGTTGGATGGTTTTGTTTAGCAGCATATCAACCCATATGGGTTATTTAATGCCAAAATCTAAATATTTTTATTGGTTTGGTTGGATGGTTTTGTTTCGCAGCATATCAACGCCTATGTGTTATTTAATGCCGAAATCTAAATATTTTGATTGGTTTGGTTGGATGGTTTTGTTTAGCAGTATATCAACCTCTATGGGTTATTTAATGACAAAATCTAAATATTTTGAACAATTTTATCCTTTCAACTAGAGATATTTTGTACATAATTTTATACTTTCAGAGTAAAGTTATGTTTTTAGATATATAATTTGATGATCATAAAAGTATTGTTAGTAATTTTACTATAAAAATGTATTTGTTTTTTGTTTGGAGATTCACTGTTTGCCGACAGTTGGATCGTAACAGGTACTACGACCCCGGGTGGGGGTGAACCGGGGAACAAAAGCAATTACGAGTTAGTTCCACTCTCCTCAAAACCTCCAATCTCCCAATCAGAGACCTTGCTGCCGGATGTAGTTTATTGTCATACCGAGGGAAGCAAGTCAGTTCTAAAAATACATTACAACATGTTTAGCTCTGATATTTTTCTGGTGATAAAGTTAATCCTCTACGTTGTAGTAGAGACTTTGTAATAACAGATACAACTATAGTAACGCCGTTGTACAATACTGGTGTCAGCCGCCTTCGAATAACACTCTCACTAATAGAACTTGTTCGATAATACTCGCTCGAATAGTAATCTGTATAGTGATCCGAATAGAGAAATAGTATAGTGAATAGAGTAGAAATGCATCAAGATGAAGAAAACATTGCGCTTTTTATAGAATCGTACCATTTAAGAAAAGCTAATTAAGAATGCATAATACCGAATTTTGTACACTTTAAGCCAGTGAACATCTAAAAAAAATAAGTAAACAAATAAATAAATAAAAATAAGGTCAGTAGGCAAAATTTGAGATCTTTTTGGAATTTTCATCTGATAATGTCTCTCTGAACATTTTCAGTGTAATTATTGTAAAAATGTTTTTTTTTTCGGATGGGTATCCTTATACTGGTTGTTTATATCTGTTATATAGGAATAAAGTGTCGCTGACAACACTTGAGTTTGAACATAGATCGCCAGTGAGCAAACACAGGCGATCCCATTATTGAATTAAGTAGATCACGTGACCATAGAGGAAACACATAAGTAGAAAGTATCGTGAAGACTAACGATCGCTATTTCTAGTCTATCCTCTATTATTATACGGATCACCATTTCTATTCTATCCTCTGTCACTATATGGACCGCTTTTATCTAGTCTATTCACTATACTATTTCTCTATTCGGATCACTATACAGATTACTTTTTGAGCGAGTATTATAGAGCAAGTACTATTAGTGAGTGTGTTATTCAAAGGCGTCTGACATAAGTATTGTACAATGGGGTTACTATATGTGTATCTGCGATTACAAAGTCTCTACTACAACGATCATTACGAAAGTGACAATGAGTATTCGTTGACATTACAAAAGTGTCAAACGAGTGTTCGTTGACATTACAAAAATATCATAATGTTTCGACTACTGTACACTCAGACCTTCTTCAGGTGTTTGTTGCATCCGGTAATCTTCAAGAAAGGTTGAGCGGGACCATTTATTTTATCAAGTGCTAGTATCTTCTTTAGATCATTTGTTTATTAACACCCCCGGCGTTCTTTCCAAGGATAGCAGACTTATCCATGGAGCTGATATATTCCTACACTGCGTGACCCAGAAATTGAACTCACAAGTTTTAGGAAACGAGATCGAAGCTTATGAGCTGGAATATGAAACTTCTTTTGGCAGTCTCCTCTTCTAATGTCGTATCGGTTATATTATAGATACAAACCTCGCATAACTTATCATACGTAGCGTCTATCCAGCTCGTCCTTCTTGTTATATCTACCCGTCACACAAATAAGTTAGCAATATGTGAAAATCTATTTTCTCTGACACAATATCGTTGTCACTTCTCACCTACGGTAATTCCCCAGCCAGAACGTAACTGGACACCGGGTTTCGAATGGCTCTATTTGTGAGATTGAGGTGGGAGCAGTTCTGTTCTCTTCACCCTAACCCCGAATTGCGAATTCGGGGGGTGGGATGAATTTCGGTTCGAGAATGCCAATGGGTGAGAACGCTTATTACCATCATAATTAAGCCGCTCTTCATTACATCTCGTCGTAATGAGATTTATTTCGTGATAATGTGAGACGGTCTCTCCAGCCAATCAGCGAGGGCCTTTTATTTATTAGACCATTGTCACCCGACACACACGCTCTCTCACATGCACTGGTCAAACTCATCCATCTCTCAGCTGTGCGGCAAGGGTGGTGGTGAAGAGAGAAACTGAGGTAGGATTTGAGGGAAGAGGGACACGAAATGCTGTTCCTCAAGGGGGCGATTTTCCTAGTGAATTTCAATGGGCAGATGTCTTCATCCGACTGACTTCGGGCCAAGAGTCTTCGCCTTCGTCCTGACTATTAATTATCCGGATTTTCGTCAGAGAACATACTATTTGTTTCTCGTAAAGCGCCATTAAAATCATATCAACGCATGCGCATTAGGGTAGATAAATAAACAGAACGACTAGTGGGAATGGGAACTGACGAGAACATTTAATAAATGTACCGAGGTTGATCCTTTCTTAAGCTGAGTGAACGAAGGGAAATTGAGATTTATACGGAACAGGTAACATAGATTTTACAGACCGACAAGATCCATTATCTGTTCTATGGCTTTTTAAATATATAAATAAATAAATATATATATATATATGAAAAAATATAGCTCTTTCAATTCAAACCCGCTATCTATCAAAGTTAAGTGCTTATGATCCTTTAGCCGTGATCTGCTCAAAAAGTATCAGGGAGAGTAGATAATCATTCATTTGTAAAAGAATAGAATTTTAGCAATATTTCCGTATAATAAGCAACGCATAGGTTGCAGAAATACAGAATAACCTTTTCAAATTTAAATTCAAATGATTTCTCATATTATTAACCTGTCAAAGACGTGCAGGATCGTTTACACTTTCTGTCTAATATCAAACTACCGCCCTGGGTATGACGATAAACTACATCCGCGTCCTGGGTAAGACGATAAACTACGTCCAACAGCAAGACCTCTGATCAGTAGATTTTGAGGGGCGTGGAACCACTTCTTAATTGCTGGTGTACCAAGGTCCACCCTGACCCGGGATGATAGCACCTGTCAGGGTCCCAGCTATAAGCAAATAGTTAACGCCCCCAAACTGGGGTCAAAACGTGTGAAAATAGGTTTTAATACCAGCAAAACATTTTCGAAAAAACAAATATTATCAGCAATACATTTTTGAAAAAAACAAAAAAACAAATATTACCAGCAATACATATTTGAAGGAAGATTATTACTAGAAATAGATTTTTGAAAAAAAATATTACCAACAATAACAATTTTGTCGGCATTAAATGACCCATTGAGGTTGATATGCCGTAAAACAAACTAAACCAAAAACTAATATCAAACTATTCCTCCTCGGTCTTTCGCACAGGATCAAAGTGTAGTGTCTGCCCTCGGGTAGACAAACTATATTTTATCTCTCAATTGTGTCTTTGTCTTTGGGCAGAGCACACGTGAAAATATTACTGAAAGTTGCCCAGTCTTGGGGAACAGTTGCCGGTGGCCCTACTTCTCTCAGTGCATTAAAGAGGAGGAGGAATCGGTAGTAATACCGATGTCAGTGAACGACAGTTGCGGGGTCTGGGCTATTTGAGCCTGTCCTGGGTATTCGCGCTCAGGCACTATACATTAATATTACGTTGTGTCACATTCTCCTAGTGTGGGTAGACAAACTATATTTGATCTCTCAATTCTGTTTCTGTCTTTAGGCAAAACACAAAAAATAAATAAAGGATGCCTTCTCCTGGAGAAAGCAACCATGCGGCAGCACCTCCCTCATTGCACCAAAGAGAGATGGTCGGTGGAATATCGACGCCAGCGCGATTTTGGATGCGAGGACCAGGCAATTTTGGGCCTTAGACCACCCATGTACACGCGCTTGATTTGCCCATTTTAAACTGGCCTTGTGCCATATCCTGTCACCGTGGTGGTTGGGGGGCGAGTACATACCAAGTGTAGTATCTGTTCTTCATATCTCTGCTATGTTTCTATCTTTGACAGTTTCACGGAAAAATTGTGAGGGATGCCTAGTCGCATGGATTACAGCCTTGCGGCAGCACCTCCCTCATTTCATTTAAGAGGGAGGGGTAGTGCATACCAACATCAGTGACATTTTTGGTCTTGGCCAATATGTTTGCTTATGGGCATCCCACATAAAAACAACCTTGTGACACTCCTCCAAGATGGAGTTGGGGGAGTGAATTCCAGATCAAAGTGTAGTATCTGTTCTTCACCTCGGCAGCGTTTCTGTCTTCAGGCAGTTCATGGAAAAGCTTTAAGGGAAGTCTAGTTCCGGGGATTCCAACTTTGCAACAGTACCTCCCTCATTGACCTTAAGAGGGAAGTTGGTGGAATGACGACGCTAGTGTAACATTGATCATGTGGACTAGGCAATTTTTAACCTTGTTCGATGTGTGTGCGCATAGACAACTCACGTTAAAGACGCCCTCTTGTCATATCCTACCCTCGTGAGGAGATGGGTAAATACAGAATGTAATAGCTGTTCTTCTAATCCGTGTTCCTGTACTGCGGCATTGTGCCATTGCTGTGTCCCATTCGATCTAAATTGAGATATTGCTTTGTACTCTAGTAGATCTATCTATCTATCTATCTATCTATCTATCTATCTATCTATCTATCTATCTCCCCTCTCTTTCCATATATATATATATATATATATATATATATATATATATATATAAACACATATATAGTCTTTTTATATCTTCCCTTCTATCTATCTTACTTTGTTCATATCTATCTATCTATCTATCTATCTTACTCTGTTCATATCTATATTCTATCCATCTAGCTCTTTCTCTCTCTATATATATGTATATATATATATATATAAATACAGACGCACACATATATATATCACATTCTGTTTATCTCCTCTCTCTCTATGTTACTCTGTGCTTATCTATCCATCCCCCTCTCTCCATATATATATAAAACACACACATGTAGCCTTTTTTTATATCTTCCCTTCTGTCTATCTTACTCTGTTCATATCTATATTCTATCCATCTAGCTCTCTCTCTCTCTCTATATATATATATATGTGTATATGTATATATATATATATATATATATAAATACAAACACACACACATATATATATATATATATCACATTTTGTTCATCTCTCTCTCTCTATCTATCTATCTATGTTACTCTGTGCTTATCTATCTATCTATCTATCTATCTATCTATCTATCTATCTATCTCCCTCTCTTTCATATATATATATATATATATATATATATATATATATATATATATATATATATATATATAAACACACATATATAGTCTTTTTATATCTTCCCTTCTATCTATCTTACTTTGTTTCATATCTATCTATCTATCTATCTATCTATCTATCTATCTATCTATCTATCTATCTCCCCTCTCTTTCATATATATATATATATATATATATATATATATATATAAACACACATATATAGTCTTTTATATCTTCCCTTCTATCTATCTTACTTTGTTCATATCTATCTATCTATCTATCTATCTATCTATCTATCTATCTATCTATCTATCTATCTCCCCTCTCTTTCCATATATATATATATATATATATATATATATATATAAACACACATATATAGTCTTTTTATATCTTCCCTTCTATCTATCTTACTCTGTGCTTATCTATCTATCTATCTATCTATCTATCTATCTATCTATCTATCTATCTACCCCAGTCTGTTCATATCTATCTATCTATCTATCTATCTATCTATCTATCTATCTATCTATCTATCTATCTATCTATTTAAGCTAGTGTCTATTGCTTTATAACGCGCAAAACATGTCCCGCTATATGTTTTTCCATATATTTGCGTGTAGACCGAATTCTTCTTTTATGTGCCGTATTTCTCCAGGAAGTGGACGGTCATGACTCTCCGCAACTTCATATCCTTCGTAGATCTAAGTAATGTTTGTCTTGTTACTATCCCTCACAGTCACTGTTCCGCCATCCATTTACACAACCTCGTTAAGTTGCTAACTCTCTGCGCCCCCACCTCTTGCATTCAATATAACTTGTAGGTGTCAAATTCGCCAAGAACTCTTTCTTTAATATGTATTCCCAACATTTCTGTCTCTTTCTGATTCTAAGTAGAAGTGTCATTTTTGTTTCCATTTTTCTTAGAAATTCCTTGTTTCATATGCGCTCCGTTCATAATATTCTCAGCATCATTCTGTAGAACCATATCTCTGTTGCCTCATGCCACTTCTTCATTTGTGAGAAAATTGTTCAGCATTGATTGTAATACAGGAAGATTGGTATTGCATATCAGTATAGCGCTTTTGTTTCTGACGAAATTTTCCTATCTATAATAATAAAGCGCAGTGTACGTGTGACCGTCCGTCCGTTTTTCGTTCTCGCAGAATCATAAATAACCTTTTGTAATAGATAGTAACTACTGTAGTCACACGCGATTAAAAATTAAATCAATAACTTATTTAAAGTTAAATTTAAATACGAACAGAGTAAAAGTTTCAAAAAACAATTTTTTATTAAAGGTTTAATGTAATATTCTTTGTTGTCGCAATTGGAATTAATATCGTCTAATTAAACGGTTATTAAAACTTAAGCGTACGTTGCTCATATATCTTTCGCTGTTCCAATTCGCCTTTGGTTTCTGTATCACATTTTCTGTGGTCTGTTATAACACTTCTCACATTTCATATTTTGCACAGATAATATATATAAATATAAATATAGATATATATATAAACACAGAAATTATATATATATATACATATATATATAAACACAGAAATTATATATATATATATATATATAAACACAGAAATTATATATATATATATATATATATATATATATATATATATATATATATATATATATATGGTCTAATGTTAATTATGTTTTATGAATATGTCCTGAAGATGGTCTGTTAGACCGAAACGTCCGACGTTGACATTATATTAACATTAAAACAGCATAATTGCATATTAGGATTTTTGTTTGTTTTTTCCGTATATTTTTCTTCATATATATATATATATATATATATATATATGTATATGTTAAAACATTATAATTTTTAAGTTGCTCATTTCAACTAAGTGGATACTAAATATGTAAATTATGGCAATGATTAGGGAAATTTTTATGAACATTTTAAAAAGTACTGCATTAATTTAAATATCTTCTTTTAAGTTTTAATTTTTGTTTAATTACCAGAAAATAGGCTGAAATTCGTCGTAACAAAAGAAACATTATTTCAATTTGCTTAAAGCCGGTATTTAATATTTATTTTTGTTATAGTGTTTTAACTTGATGCTATGATTGAAATCTCCCAATAGAAAAATGAAAATTCTATAATTAAAAAAAATTCAAAAATAAAGTAGCCTTTATAGAAATAAAGTATTCCTACGAAAATTAATTAATGGTAACTGAATTTTGAAGAAAGTAAATGCGTTTTACTTACGGGACAGCTTAAATATAGATGAAAATAACTGACAAAATTTGATATTACTGAGAATGGTAAAAGTATATTCTTAACATTAAAATATCGTCGTATTAAAAGCAACACTCGATAAGATAACTAACAATGTTTTGCGTCTTCTGTCCTGCAGTATTTAAGCTAACTAATCCAGTATAACATCATTGGTGAATTAGACATCCTACTTTATCTATTTAAATAATATTGACCGTAAATCTATTTTGAAAAAAGAGGACAACATAGATACTACTGTAGTAAAAACAGAACCAGTGAATAAACTTATACCAAAGCTTTATTGCATTTTACTCTGACTACTGGTTTATTGACGTATATTAAAGGGTGCTTTTTATACCTCCTAGATCTTAAGGGGAGGTAACTGATGATTTATCAGTACAATGATAAAGAGATTTATTTAGTTTTTATCATTTCATTTCAAGCAAGGCGATAAGTCCGCTAAGATGCAAAGGGTGACAGAGAGTTAAAGTGAATGAGAAAACTTTGGTGAGGAGAAAGGACAATAAAAGAACAGATTTCGGGAAGACAGAAGTCGGGGACTGTTGTTGCATTTAAATTTTTTAAGGATGTATGTTGCAGGGAGGGAGGTAAGAAACCGGAAGAGATTTCCAGAGGCGAGAAATGCCAGAAAAAATTAGAATAGAACTTACAGATATATCTAGCTATTTTAATAGTAAAACAATGGGACCATATTTGCCAATCTAGTCAGTCAGTTATGTGCCATGCGTGATACACGCTTAGGGAATCATGTATCTTTCGATACTTGACTGACGAAAACAGATTTTTTCCTGCAGTACGTTACCATTTCCTTCTGCGGTAGACCAGTTGCCATCCAAGGCTATAGAACCCAGCCTGTCCTGCTATTTACCAAGAATTACTGTTAAACTGTTTTACAGAATTAAAGTAAAAAAAAAAAAATTCTTTGACAGTATATCAACCAGTGAGGACTGAACAGAAAAAAACTCCATGTATGTCAGGGCCGGATTAATACTTTTGTGACCCCTACGCTTATGAAATTATGGAGCCATCCCCTAACTGGCCTGCACTCATCATGAATATATTTTAAATCAGATATATTCTTTAAATATATAGTTCTCTTATTCTTGTTAATGAAAATAATTTTAATAATTTTAAAGAAGTACTACTATTTTACTATTTATTGTAAACCAAGTTAGCAGATATTTTCAACAGTTACGTGCCATGCGTGATACATGATGTATCTTTCGATACTTGACTGACGAGGCAGATTTTTTTTCCTGGAGCAGGTTGCCATTTCTTTCTGCGGTAGACTAGTTTCCATCCAAGGCTATAGAACCCAGCCTGTCCTGTTATTTACAAATAGCTGGGGGAGGGGAGAAAAAGAGGATTCATACCTTTTCCAAGGGTGTTAGCACGTAAATGAATGTAATGGATTCGAACTCGGCTCTCCGATTCCTCAGTCCGAGCCGCTATCCAGTACTCCACCGTGCCAATCTAGTAGTACTCGGAGATTCATGTGGTAGAGGTATCATTAATGAGCAGTGCTCATGGTAGATTTATAAATGTGGAAGTTAGATTCTGGCGAGGAAATTGTCTCGCAAGGCACAATGGATTAACTTTCCTGGCAGCAGACCTAGCAATTGACGCAATATAATCATTCCACTTCATGTCAGTGAGACCAATAAAGCGCAATAAGTTGGAGGTTAGCATCAGCCATGCTGATGGAAGGCAAATAAGGGTTCCCTAGTTAAGGTGATATAATATACCAAGGCTGGCTGTTTGTTTTCGACTATGCTTCTCTGTTAGAGTGACGAACTAATCCCTGTTGCAGACACCTGCTCAGTTATATTTGTGTTTCTTCAAAACTCACAGAATCTGTGGCCTATATGACAGCTATCTGAGCCAGTCTTAGTTACAAGATCCAATCAATCTATATTTTTTATACGCGAAGATGCACTTGAATACTTTGTTTACTATGAAAAGAAATCTATGGAATTCATTGTTACGAGTTGTGATGAGACAACTGTCAGAGAAAGATAAACAAATTAACTAATAGCTATATCACTCAGGATTACTCTTGGAGACGATTATTATGCATTTTACAAAACAAACTCAAACAAGATTAATTTCTTTTTTTTACTGTTCATCAACCTTTTGCAGGTTATTTAAAGCCATGAAATATTTCTAGATTGTAAAATTATTTTAGAGATAATGATGATTTATTGATAAAAGTCCTACAAATTAATCCATAGCTGGAGGAAGGGGAAGAGCTGGATTCATGCCTTTCTCAATGGTATTTGCGAAGAAGTGAATATAACGAACACGACTGGAATTGGAACTTGGCTCTCCGATTTTCAATTCTGAGCCGTTATCCATTACACCACCCGCACATCCAAGCTTACAGCACCTAGTATTCCCAAGCGATTACCCATCTAGGGTGTACGTTGCTTGATTTCGGTGATCGTACGAGAACTGATGTTTTGACATGATATGAACGTAAGCCCCCCCCTACACAAACACGAATAAAGAAGGAAAAAAACGCTTATGTCAAATAAAGAAATCATCTAAAATCATTTGATTCTCTGAATGCAGTTAAATATTCATTACTACATCTTTCAGAATATGGGTATAATTTATCTTCATTCAACTAAAATACGATATTCAAAAATGAATTTTAAATATATTTAATCGTCAGTATTAAAAGAATTTCGTCAAAGAATGAAATTACAGAGAGAAAAAATAGTTTTTCTGTTCTTAGCCATAAATATCGATAGCACAGGTTAGGGAGACAATTTTAGAGGTGTTACTTGATAATTGGTTCTCGGTTGCATTGCTAGACGCTAAATGACAGGTACTGACACGGTCAGAAACGAATTTAGGACGCCCAAATGGGGAAGCTGATTTTGTTTTTAGCGATTCTAAAATGGGCTTCACTTTCAGTTGAGGGCTTCTTTCAGTTTTTAAAAACAATGAATGAATACACCCAAACTAAGATTGATTATACAAGAAACGGGTGTGCAGTAGGGTAATGGATATAGATGCAGAAAGTGAAATCGGTGAACCGAGATCAAATTCCGGTCTAGTCTGTTATATTTACTTTCACTCTTATGCCTCTCGAAAAGGAACGGATCCGTCTCTTCTTGCCCCAGCTATGTGTTAAATATTAAGGTACATTGGGCTCTTTAAACTTTGATGGCAAATAGCCTAAAGAAAACTTTAATTTCCAAGTCGTGGAAACAGGAAACCACTTCACTATTTTCCCCAAGAAAGCATGACAATTCATTTGATAATAAGGAAAAGGAATCTGTGGAGA